TAAAGTACAGTATCTTAACATTTAACAATGTGTGTATATATATATATATATATATATATATATATATATATATATATATATAATAATTAGGATTGAATACAGGTACAACTTAAGCTATATACTATGCTATGTATCTAGCATAATACATGTTTGTGTGTTTAGTACAAAACCTAAACTTGTATAAATAGACATTCCGTATAAGATACAGTAAAGTATTATATACAAATATAGAGTACATGTTTATTGTCTAATAAAAGGCAAGAAGCTTGGGCAAAAAGGTGATCATAGCTATTCTATCGATATTTGTGCAGTTAAAGTACTACGAAAACATGATAACTATGAAAATCTCCCGTGGAGATAAAGGTAAATCATTTCAGAAGCATACGCCTCTGTATGGCACAAAAAATGAACCTTGCGTTGTCATTACTTTAGGCATACTTAACTTTTTATTTTCTCTTTGTCTTGTCTCATATCTGTGCTCTACGAAAGAGCAGTACTGGATAAGGGACTGTGGCAAGTTATTATTCAATAGCTGATGCAAACAAATCACAAATAGAAAGTTTATTTAGTTGATACACATTCAATAATTTTAACTCCTGGAATATTGACTACGAATGTGCCCGAAAGGAACTAAATGTTAAAGCTCTGAGTGCCATCGTTGGCTAAGGAATTTACATTTCAAATGTATTTCATAAATGCTTCCCCAAACCTCAATTCCATATGTAATATGTGGTTGAATTAATGTTTTATACAATGACAATAAATATTTCTAGGTCGTACTGTCTTAATCTATATAAAACACCAACCTTTTTTTCTAATACACTTATTTACTCTTACAATATGAGATTTCCAGGTCAATAATAATAATAATATTCCGTGTTTATATAGCGCTCAATACATCGATCCGACGATGTGCCTAAGCGCTTTACAGATATATTATTACCCCGGTCATCGGATTCAGGCTTACCTGCACACAATGTATGCACATTTTCCACTCCTTGGGTAGCATTCCAACCAGTCGCCATGTTACAAGTGCACATTTGCAAGAATTAAGAATTCGAATGGATCTATATTGTCATTCGACCATAACCTCTAAATAGGAATTGCCTTAATAATGGAAAAAAAATATTTTTTAATCACCAACTGGTATGTCAAACTCTAATACTAACTCAACAAATTCTTTGAATCCATGAGAGAATTTTGATGATGGCTTCTTGTAAAGCGCCGGTCTCCGCCTCTGCTGGGCACTCACGGAGCTTGGTCTACACAGACTATAATAGGGACTTTCAGATTTGCGTAGACTGCTATGTGTGACGTCCTTTAAGACACTAGCAGTGCCTTAGCAGGACGTCACATGTAGCAGTCCATGTTGTCGTCGTGCACATCTAAATGTCCCTAATGTCTCACGATTACATGTTCTTGGTTAGTGTTTTGAATTAAGATTTTTCTCCAGTAGTCTCTGTTTCCGGTACTATTTTGAGATTATATCGCATCTGAAAACAGGACAGTCTTGGGTACTGACATGAACGTTGACACACTCAGCGCTCCAAATAAATTGGGGAAGGCTATTCCACAGCTAAGGTCCAGAGAAGTAGAAGGCTTCCTTTCACCTCTACAACTGTGCGACTGGGAGATTATGTCGAGAGAGCTTGGTGGATCGATCTCAGACAATATATAAATTTAATGAAAAAATTGTTCGAGCAGAACCTTTTTTCCTGTATATAAAGTGAAGCAGAGAGAGAGGAAGAAAAGGGTGTCTCTTTTCTCCTCTTTAGCAATTTAACCTATTTGTTTATCATGAGAAACGTCATTAAAGCTTGCATCATGATTTGATTAAAGAGAGGTTTAAGTGGATTCATACAAGGGATTGACAATCATTTCTGTTGTATCATCGTCTTCTCTTTCCAATGTAAAATAAAATGGATCGTGTGATGATGGTGTCTGTCCCTGAGAAGTCTGGATTTCCTCGCTCTCATTTCGAGGTCGAGGGTTATGGATCGAGTAGTATTTCCTCTCAGAACAGGATGAGCTCCGTTGTGCCTGTCTCATCCTTCGATCGATAACTGCCCCACCTGGATCTGGTGAGTTCGGTGTCATAGATTTCGGCGTAGGCCTATCCATATCAATGTCTGCATCTTCATAGTCATGTCTATCATGGTTTATAGTAAAACCTTCAGAATTTCGGCTTCCCTTTGAGGTCACTGAATCTGAGAGTTCATTTTGTCCAGGTAGTTGTCGAAACGTTTGGGACGAACTATCGACGTCTACCGTTGTGATAGGCTCCTCGTATGGATGCGGTACAACAACATTAGATGACCCATTTGACAATATGTTAGCTACTGTTGAAGGTATCAGCGGTAGCTGCTTACCGGGGAGCCCTACCGCTGTGTCAGAGACATTTATGCCCGCTGGCTCGATACATTTAGGACCCTTATAACTTTGTTCTTTGTTTATAGGTTGACAAGGATTTACAGGGGGGCTTTGGGTTCCAAGTTCAGCGTACGTACGATCCGTGCTGATTGGTCGTAGAGGAAGAGGTCGACGGGTCAAAGGACACACCGAAGGTACATATGCCCCAAGAGTCCTTGATCTAGGACTAACTTGCGCTGATGGAAGGGTTCGTGCAGAGGAGTGGATAGCCAATTCGGAAATAGTCTGATCATTCGTTAAGGTGTTCTCGGTTTCTTCGACAATGGAAGCCGTTTGATGAGGAATAATAATTGGGATGTCGTTGGTAGAATTTTCAGTAGATCGGAAACTTGTGGAAACTATAGAAAGAGAATAGTCTTGTCTAGATACTTCTGATCTGATCAGGTTGTCTATGTTTGTAGGATACTCCGACAGATCCGACGTTGTTTCTATATCTACAGTGGATATGTATTCATTTTCAACGACTGCGCTTAAACGATAGATTCCGAAGGGTGAGTGAAATCTCGACGTATCTCCTGGAGAGCGGGTTCTTGTTCCTCTAGATCTTCCCTCTGAGTCAATGTGGACGTTGATTTGGTACCGCTGCAAAAACCTATGATCAAAATTAAATTTTCATTCCTCAATGATGATACACATCTAAATTTCATTTGGGGTACATTGATCAGAAATATTGATTCGAATGTCTGGGTCTTCATGAAAAAGGAAATCATTTGACGAATTGTGTTATATGCGAATTAAGTATTCAATTTTTGCAGCTCTTGTTTAAAGTTCAACGATAAATATTATATGGTGAGTTAAAGTTGGTGAGCATATTTTCATGCTGTCAGCTGAATTAAACACTAAGTTTATGTGATATAGAATTACAGTGGCAGATCTACTAAAGCAATTCTACATATGCTTTTGTGAATTAAAATCCCGATTTATGAACCACCATTTCATAGTTCCATTTTATGGATCATACGAAGATAAAACTACGTCCAGTTGTGGATGGTCTTTATTTAATTCATCATATATTTTTATATCCATCTGAATCAGGAATTAATAATTTTAATCATCAAATGCATTATTCATGTTGCATTCAACCACGGTATTTAACTCTAGATTGTCTGCTGAGACCTTAATACTGCTGATGGTGCAGCGTTTCGGGTTAAGGTACAGTTTTTTAGTGTTCTACAATACTTGCCCGAAGGAAAACGAGTAATTCGACAGTCCCGTTGTTTATTGTCATCAGCCGCCAATAAGCTTAATGTATCACTATCAGAGATTTGGGTGTGTATAAAAGAGTAAGAAGCAAGGTGATGCGTCAAACAAAATCGCCTTTAGTGAAGTCATAAGAACAAGCCAACGTGCATATTAAATGCGTGAAAAAATCAATGTAAAAAAGCATTATTAACCGCACGGTGTTAAACGTTTCTTTGAATTAATTTCAGCCGGGAACAGCTAAATTCTATATTGAATAGATATTTGAGGTATGGAGTCCACCTCCTAATTTTATTATTATGATCTTCTGCTCAAGAATTCTTATATTTCTGGTTACATCAACTTCCCATAACTGCATGCACTCTCTGTATTGCCTTTTTGAGCATATATTTAGCCGATTAGCTCACAGTGCTATTTCTGGGGATGTTTTCCTGAAACCTCTCCGGGCTATAGATAACTATAAGTGTTCAGTATACGTAGGCCTATAGCAATTAGGTGCGTTGAACAGTGAGGCGCGATATCACCTTCAAATTTCTATTGATTGTGTTCTTTTGTAAATTTACGGAGCATCGATTTTTTACAATTAACTGAAATGCAAATGCAAGTGAAAGTGCGAAATAAAATTCGAAACTTTAGGTACAAGATCTCTCTCCTAGACAATGAAGCGTAAAGCCAAGTATTGATTGTATACATCTATATTCATATACTATCTCCTCAGCAGACTCTATCAAGGAATACCTACCACAGAATTTTTCCTTTTTGCCTTTGTTGCAGGCGAAGATGATGATGATGATGATGATGATGGTGATGACGGGAGTGAGAACTCCTAACAAAATATTGGGAGTTTCACTGCTACTAGTACCTGTAAATGTATCAGCATCAATAATTATTCCATTAAATCGAAGACCTTTGATTTTCATTCTGTGGCTACATGTGTTCATACAGTATGACATAGGTTTTATTATAATTTGGCTCATTGATACTAAAGTGAAATATCCTTGAAGAAAATCTAATGTGGTGTCGGCTCCATCGCTTTTCAAATTCAATTGTACCAAATTTGGTTTAGCGGGGGGGGGGGCGTTCTCCTGGACCCGCCACTTCATATATGGTGACATCTAAATGTGTTTTTGATAACCCGAGATGTTTGTTGATAACCTGAAGAGACAAATAGCATAAGAGAAAGAGAAAAAAAAAATTTTAAGAGAAAGAAAAGGGATAGTGTCCTGAAAAACCTGATATGTGATTGTGGTAAAGATTCTTACCATTCGTATTTGACGTGTTTTGGGGAAATGCTAATGTCGATGTTACTAAAAACAAGCAGAAAGAAAAGCCATGTTAAAGGAAACTGTGATTTGTTATTTTGCCTTTATTTTAAATGAAAATAATTCAGAAACTAAGTACAGCTTGCATAATGCCATAAAAAGATTGCATAGACTTGCATAGAATGAATACAGTTAGCTAACACAAATACGGCCTTATCATACACTGAAAATTGAATCGAAGTCAACTTAAAAAAAAACCATTTGAACAAACGTTGATAGTGGCTATTTATTTCCTGACATTTAGAAGCACAACTTGAAAATGAAAATAGTCCATTTATGTTGTAACCTGATTCCAAAAATACGAAAGCCTAGTCTTATAAAGAGTTTGAAATTGCTCACAACTTTTTTTGATATCAATATCATTGATCAGTGATTGATTGATTGATTGAGGCCGATTCGTATCAGGCACAGCTGTATAATAGGCCAGGGTTCAATTTACTTCCATCTGAGATATTTAACCCAAAAGAGGGTTAAACGAAATATGGACACATTAGTTAGTGACATTTCCCCCTAACGGAAGAGGAACATAAACAAAACAATTTTAGTTCACCGTTTTAGTTTTAGTTTGATCTCATTTTGTTAAACGCGCCCATACGGACTTTCACGCACACCCACACCCACAAGCTACGCCTGCTTGTACGAATTGCACCCTTGTTTTGGGGGAACCAGGTTATGAAAGAAAAATTCTGCAAAAACTCCTGAACCTAACTAAAAATTGCAAAATCATGATTTTTCTCTAAATATCATAATATACATATACATGTAATCGATAATACATTAACCTTGTATCACATCAATTATACAACAATTGAAGAAAAACAACAATAGCAAACATGAAAAATTGTCTTCCAAGATAAACAAAAAACCTGGAAGTAAAGTATTTAACTCAAACACATGGCTTAAAGCACATTTCGCACATTGAGTAGTTACACATTAAATACGCGTATATATTACACACAATCCATCTGCTTTAATCTTTTTTCATAGGTCATAAATTCATAACGTAGATGAACTACAATTCTACTTGCAACGCTTTTCCATACGAAAATTGCGTATGGTAGGCTAAAACTACCAATTAATTCTTTAACAGAAATGAATCTACACGAAAGAGAATATTTGTTGGAAACATTTTTAAACACTATCATCGAACAGAAGTAAAATGGAATTTTATCGGACGAATGGCATGGATTATGCATTTCTTGTATCATGCATTAAATATAACATCAACTACGCCGAAAATATCAGCAATGTTCATTAATCTTACATCGATACATGTTCTCCAAGAGATAAAGTAAACCTGAAACTCAATTAATGTGGTTCTATACGTTGATTCAACCAAGAAATTGATGTTGCCAACAACGTAGCTTACATTATTTTTTGTGAAAAATCATCATCAAGATCGCGAGCCAACTAAGCGTTACTTAATAGTACGGGGTTATTATAATTATTTTTTGCAAATATATCGACAATGATTTCAAAATGTATCATTTCCTAATAAAAACTGAAAGGACTATTGTACATAAAGAAGAAAGATACAATCATAAGTTGCCAATTTGACTTCAGAATCTTACCAGATCCGGAGAACGACTCATTGTCAGCTGAACCTACATGTATATAGGGGAAAGAGATAGAGAGAGAGGGAGAGAGAGAGAGAGAGGATGGGGTGCGTGGACGCGATACAAATGGAGAGGAGAAAAGAGAGAGAGATTTAAACATATAGGAAATATCACAAATCTCTAATAAACAACTGATAACTCATTCATCACAATAAGCAATTTGAAGAAAAAAAAGAACTTTGAGCAATGATCAGTTCTCTTACAAGGCACACCGTTGGACAAACCATGGAGAACTCATGTTGACTTTTCTGAAGTGACTGTTAAAAGACCCTTCTCTCCTTTCCGATAAAAGAGCAGAAATAGCTACCTTGCATAATTTGAGAAGTAGGTGATGGTGAAAGTCCGAATGATGATTAGCATCAACCATTTGCGATTTTTGTTTTATTTTTCGTAAGGACGGAACAGGCTTGGGGGTCTTTAGAAAAATGTGAAAAAGCGACAAACACAAAATTGTTATTATATTTCAATTTAATAGCTAGTAATTGGTGAAACTGGGTCCCAGTGGTTCACTTGCATGCAACTCTTTTTAATGATGAATTAGTGGGAAACATAACTTTGATTTGATTTAAAGTATATAGACTTGGGATAAATTGGTATCCTTTATATATATATATATATATATATATATATATATATATATACAGGCGCGTACACAGGGGGGGGGGGGTTGGGGGTTAACCCCCCCCCCCCTTTGGTATTTTTATGTGTGTAAACCCCCCCCCCCGTAACCCCCCCTAAACCCCCCCCTTTTGGATTTTTTTTTTTAATTATTTAAAAAAAAAAAAAATTATTCCCACGGTTGACCTAAAAAAGGTGACCTTAACCCCCCCCCCCCCCCCTAACGGAGCAAAATGTCAAATTTTCAAATTTCGAAACCAAAACAAAAAAAAGTGTCCTCTTACATCCCCCCGCCCCCCCCCCCCCCCTGCTTATTCAGCGGTCGGCTGAGTCGTTGCGATTTTTTTGGGACCAAAAAAAAAAGTGACCTCTTACCCCCCCCCCCCCCCCCCCCCCGCTTATTCAGCGGCTGGCTGAGTCGTTGCGAAATTTTCGGCCCGATTTATAAATGTCACCCCCCCCCCCCCTTTGAAAAAATCCTGCGTACGCGCCTGTATATATATATATATATATATTATTTTTTTTCTCAGGACTTTATTGGTCAACCCAAAGAGATAAATAGATTGATCAATTAAGTTTGGAGAAGATATTTATCCATCAAGAATAAACAATACTGTCACAATCATTTCATGAAAAGGGGTAAAAAAAAAAAATCATTACAACTATTTGTAAATTAATACAATATCATTGGTCCACGTCATGATATAAAAACTAGTTCTCATTACCAGTATTCCTTTTTCGGCAGGATGGAGTGGTTCCATGCCATTCAAAGTCTTGAGTTGTAGAGGTTGTTGCCCTGTCACATCTCATCTTCCTATGTCCATCCACCAACTCGTAGTTGTCATTACATTTGGCGGTGACAGTTGTGTCGTACATACATCCGTTTGATGAATTATTCCAAGAGCCATTGTCTAGTTCAGGCGGCTTACTGCAGAATCCAAACGAGGCTGTAAAGTTGTGATCAAAAGGGGAACAAAACACTTTACTTGAATTCAGTACCCCCAAAATGGTACATGCACATAAAGGTCGTGTGAGGTCATGGATTGACATGTTTGGCAAGACAGTGGCGGATCCAGGGGGCCCGGTCCCCCTTCCCTGGCCCAGGCGCGGATCCAGGATTTCTTAGGGGGGGCCCACTTTTTTTTTTGGTCCGAAAAAAAAATCGTAACGACTCAGCCAGCCGCTAAATAAGCGGAGGGGGGGGGGGGGGGGAGGACACTTTTTTTTTTTTGGTCTTGAAATTTGAAAATTTGACATTTAGTTCCGTTGGGGGGGGGGGTGAGGTCACCTTTTTTAGGTCAGCCATTGGCATATTTTTTTTATTTTTTATTTTAAATTTTAAAAAAAAAAAATCACAGAAAAGGGGGGGGGGAGGTGCTCCAAAATACACACATAAAAAACCGAAGGGGGGATTGTCAACCCCCTAACCCCCTCCCCCCCCCTTCCGTACGTGCCTACTCGTCTGAAATAGTTTTTCCCCTCCCGCGCGAAGCGCGGAAGCTTTTACGTTTTATTAAATCATTAGAAAAAGAAGACGATTCGTTGTACAGTTTTTTTACTCTTAATCCTCATCTTAATTCATCCCCCTCTCCCGCGCAAAGCTCGGAAGCTTTTACGTTTCATTAAATCATTAGAGAAAGAAGACGATTCGTTGTACCGTTCTCGACTCTTAATCCTCATCTGAATTCAGTTTTCTCCTCCTCCCTCCCGCGCGAAGCGCGGGAGCTTGTACGTTTCATTAAATCATTAGAGAAAGAAGACGATTCGTGGTACCGTTCCCGAAAATTATCCTCGTCTGAATTAAGTTCCCCTGCCCTCCCCCGCGCGTAGCGCGGAAGCTTTGATATTTCGTTAATTCATTAGAGAAAGAAGACGATTCGTTGTTCCGTTCTCGACTCTTAATCCTTGTCTGAATTTCAAATATGTTCTTTGTCTATTCCCTTTTCTCCCTACGTCCTCTTCCTTTACACTCCTCTCTTTTTTAACCGGCGTTTATTGGGGGACCACCCCACCGCCCCCCTGGCTACGCGCCTGCTGTCAGATGAACATATGTTGATACCTTGTCCGCCCCGGAAGCTCAGGGGTTTAAGGTTTTAATTTACGGTCAGATTAGCATTCAGGGGTCCGCCTTAGCGCCCTAGACGGGGTCCAGGGGGCAGAGCCCCGGAAGTTCAGGAGTTTAGGCATTTAATTACGGTCAGATGAGCATTATTTTGATACCTAATTGTTACAATGGCAGGTCACTAATTGGCTTGGGGTTCAGGGGCGGAGCCCCGGAATCTCAATGGTTTTAGGCACTCAATTACGGTCAGATGAGTATCGAGGGGCCCGCCTAAGGGCTCTTGGTTGGGTCCAGGGGGCAGATCCCCCAGAAGCTCAGGGGTTTTAGGCGTTTAATTACGGTCAGATGAGCATTTTTGATACCTTATTTTTTGTGACACTAGCAGGATACTATTTGGCGTGGGGTCCAGGGGGCAGAGCCCCCAGAAATCAGGGATTTAATGACCGTCATATGAGCATCTAAGGGCCCGCCTTAGGGCTCTAGGTGGAATCCAGGGGGCAGAGCCCTTAGGATTTTAGGCATTAATTTTAATCATGGTCAGATGAGCATATTTTGATACCCCATTATAATGTGACACTGGCAGTTAACTATTTTTTCTTTCTCGCTCTCTTTCTTTCTATTTCTCTTTAATATACTTTTTCAAAGAAAGTGTGGGGGAGGGGCTCGAGGATCCCGATCCCCGCCGTTCCGCGGGCCCTGATAATTATGTAGGCATCTCAAGAAGCATTTTCTTGCCTGGCTGTAAATTTAGGAATTTGTCATTTTCCAACAAACGCATGAAAATTATCTCATTTCAGCATTATTTGTTAACCACCGTAATGGAATTATAAATAAACCACGTTTGAATTCTATTTCTCCAGCCCCCCTCCCCTATCAGTATGCCAGTGCCCCCCCCCCTCCGATCTACACCTTGTTGGCGGGAAAATTGCAACTGATATCCCCCTTCTTTTCTTTTCTTCTTCCTATTTTGTCCTTCCCTTTATCTCCTCTTTATCTTTTTTCTTTCCCTTTCACTCCTTCTCTTCTATTTTTTTATTGGGGGGGGGGGGGGGGGAAGGGGGAGGCAAGTCCTCCCCCCCCCCGATCTCCTTCTTCCCTCTTTTCTTTTCTTCTTCCTCTTCTTTTTTTCCTTTTCTCTCCTCTTTCCCTTCTTTTCCTTCTCTCTCTCTCCTTTTTTTTTTTTTTTTTGCGGGGGGGGGGGGGCCAAGGCACGCTCGGCCCCCCCCCCCCCCCCTGGATCCGCGCCTGCCCTGGCCGAAAAACAGGTAAAAACATTTTCAAATTTTCGGGGGCAAAAATAGTTATCGACTCGAAGACATAATTTTTTGTGGAGTACGCATATTCACAATGAATTTGCATTAACAAAACACGGCTCATCGCCTCAGCTAGAGGCTAGCCGATTGGGTCCAGATGTCATGTCGTCACCGTAACTGCGGCAAATTTGATCCCTCTTGACCTGTTATTAGGAGGGGCTTTGAAAATTAGATTTTAATGTGCTTTTGTGCAATACTGAATGGGAAAATATTTTTATTTTCTCGTTCATTCAGCATTCCATTGAATCTCTTCATAAAGTTGTATTTCCATCGGATAGGGTCTTGAAAAGATTTCCAATGAATACAACGGGTATTTCAAGAATTTTACGTTTACTACGAAAATAACTTTAAAAATTGGATTACCGTTGTAGAGAGTAACCCAGTGTCCAGTCGGGTTTGTAGTGTCTGTTCTACAGAGATTACGATTTGTAGTAAGTTTGGTAACATCCAAAGCAGTTTGGTCGATACACGAGCAGTTGGTTCCGCTATGATGAACAGCATACTGTGGCATTGCAGAGTATGAGTTGCAGTGGGTAAGACATTGATCCCTGCTCAGCTTTACACTTCTTGACAGCAGACGGGTGTAATTCGCAAGTTCAAAACACCCAAGTTGACCCAAAACTTGTGTATTAAAAAAAATATATATACATACGTGAAAAAATACGATATCCTACGATATCCTATATCATTACAGAGTTAACATCAAGTTGTTCATCTCCAGAAAAAGATTCATTTTGCTTCACTCCTGACTACATCAATTCTGAGTAACATCAATTAATTGACCCTTATTTGGTAAGAGTTGCGATTGATCCCAATCAATCGCAAATTATTCCTACCATCGGAAAATTACAATCGTAGTAACATAGTTGCAACCTCGTATCAATTTCAGTCTGTCAGACTGTTTCGGTCTTATCAGTTGGTTTCTTTAATAATTAGTCTTTGTGAGATTTCTGGGCAGTCCAATGACTTCTGCTTCACAACTCAGGGAGCACTTGTTGCTCATTAGTGTATATATAGTAAAGATCACGGGTGCTACATCACTGCCTCGTGGTTTGCCATCTTTTATTTGTTTTCATCTTATCCTTTTTTTTCTCCATTTTTTAAAGAAGTGCACACCGTGTATTGCTCGGTTCAGATTAGTATTCTTGAGATAGGGCGCATGTTTAATCGAACAGCACATGCTTCATGATATATTACATTTCAACGAGTAAAATAAATAATTATATATACTATTACTGATTACAATTTCATTGAAGACCTTTGTCGTTCAGTTAGAGTTGTTACAGTGATAGCAGCTGTACTTAAATTTAGGAGAATATCCATATTGTTCACCGTTAATTTCTTTATGTACGTATACTTACCATTACAATTTATAACCACCGATTTGTAAGCATCTGTACAACTTGATGTAAAGTTCTCGCAATCTTGAAGGCGATGAGTGACTGTGAACATGAAAAAAATTATATTTTGCGTGCAGGGGCTGAATGTTGTCAGACAATATTAGGTCGACATTATGCTACATACAACAATCAATATTCCACAAATAATTTAATCTGGCGTTAGAATAATTTGTTCCAAAGAAAGTATTACAAAAGTACGCGTTTATAAAACTAGATATTCAATTTAGAAAATCGACTATTTCGTTGATTCGAATAGGACTTACTGTCCAGTCTTAATTCTAAACACACAAGTTAACTTGCACATACATGCACGTAAACGCTGTCGCCATGTTGTCCATACTCACATGTCTTGCATATATAACTTGTTTCATTTGATCCCGAAGTAGTGTTATTCAAAGTAGTTTCGTAGGCTCCGGGAAACCCTGCCTCTCTACATATAGTATCTGCGACATCCATATGCCAGGCGTTTCTGCATAAGGTTTGGGTGAGGACTCTGATATGCTCGAAACCTTCAAATGCTTCATGAATATCAGTGTTGTGTTCTGATAAAACCAAGAAAACCAGTATTAGAAGATGAGTGGCATCATACAAAGTTTAATAGACATTTATGTTGATAACGTTTTAGTTAAGAGCTACTTCCTATCTCACACTGTTCAGATTTACCCTAAAATCTGGTGGGGTATCGAGGAAGACGAATTGACTTTTTATACATGAAAATGGCACTTTGTGTAGATTATTGATTAATTCGTTAATGTTATTACCATTTACATTTCTTCAAATTATCAGAAGTCGTTATATTACTATTCAGTACCTGTATTTAATTCATTTCATGAATTTCTTTCTATTTCACATTGGCCTGTGTTTGTTTGTTCGTTTGTTGATTATTACTAAAGAAAGGCGCTCACCTGTGTGCGTCAAACAAGAGAGGGACAGATGGAATCCTTTTCTAGACTCAGACTCATCAGAACGGAAAATGACCTCAAGGTGGTTCCCGAGAGAAAGATACGGTGTAGCCATTTTGCTTCCACTGTACTTTGCTCTAGCAGATGGATAGTTCTCTTCTACTATATGTAGAGTATCATAATTCTCTGTATGGAAATCATGAAATGTGACGACTATTCTTTGAGTAAGGTCTGCTTGTACATCCCAATGAATCTCTAAATTGTTGCCGTATGGTTTTGGATAGTCTGGTGATGACAAGTTCTTGATTTTACCACATTCTAATGTGATCGATGTGGTCTCTCCATCAGCTGTAAGTAGGAAGAGCGTAAAATTACTAACCAAATGTTTATAACAAAATATCAATACCAACTAACTGTTGATATATCACGACTTTATAATATCATGAACTACACAGGTACTGATTTGATCATTTTATATCATTCATCTCGTGATAAACACACAACATGAAACTCGTTATGTCCTTAACGATAAAATGCTTCGGCTATTTCCCTAAGTTATCCATGTTATCACTATAAAAGCTAATATTATTACTTAACATGGAGTGAATAAGAAAAGATAACGTGCTGTAAAGTAAAAAGTGTTGAAAGGACCAAAAACGTAGCAACAGGAATGATGTTTTTTGTTATCCTCTTGTAGAAGAATCTACTATTATTATAATGTAAGTTACCTTCCTGTAGAAGAGACCCTGTATGTAAATGTATCTTTATTAAGTGTTATATATTTGTTTTGTGGACTCCCTGGGACAGTTTTGTCAGTCTATTTTTACATGAGATTTATGCTGCCTATTATTATTAATATTGTAATAGTGATATTTTTAATATGAGATGATGTCATCGTAAACACCTTTAAAGCCCGCCGCACACTATACGATCTGACTACGACCGAATTTTGGAAGAATTCGCAATAGCCTTTAAAATGAACGGGGAAAAAAAGAAAATGAATTCTCACAGAATCAAACGAAACTTACACTGAATGATCAAGATTACAAATAAATGTCATTTTCCAAACAATTTTGGTAAAAAATGTATACTGGCTGAGTAATGAGCATAGAAAAATTAGAAAATCAAGGTTGGTAGCCCCGATACCATTTGTTTAGTCCCATATACATTTTTCTGTGTACAGTGCTTGTTACTTTACCAACACTGGGCCAAATTTATTTTGATTTTGATGACTCCAGAACCTTGCAGTACGCACCAATACTTACATGCTACATGATCAACTTTTTCCTTTAATGAACGAAGATCTGAGCGGTAAAATGCTTAATAAAATCTGGATTTCAGTTTCTTTAGAGAAGCTAAATCGGCTCAGAATCGTAATGATGTCTGACCAGTAGTGCGATTGTCTACGATTTGAAGCCGATTCGACTTTTATTCTGACTAGAAGTTTTAAATGCACTGAGATTCCGGTTGTTAGTATTCTTATCATCACTCAGAATCGAAAATCGGGAAGGATATGTTTGTTTAGATTTCCATATCTGATAAATAAATATTGCCATATCTTCAGAAATTGCAGGATGATTGTGTAGCGGGCGCTGGGCATTAGAATAGAAGGCTACAAAATAAGATATAAGATATGTACATATCCCCCAAAGCGTAACTCTCTTCTCAGTTTTTTTTTAACGGTAACTTGCCTTTAAGTTTAGTGGGCGTTTTCCTTCCCCCCAAAGAACAAACAAACATCAACAACAGAAACGGTAGTTACCTTCCGAATTTTCGCCTCCTCTCTTAACAAAATCTGTACTGTTCTATTGTTTATTGTTAACCATTATTGTCAATGAGAAATAAATATATGTGAATTTCAATTCAATCCCCCCCCTACCCCCCATGCCCTAGTTGATGTGACATACATGTACATCTACATACCATTTACTCGAAAAATGGATGAACTCAGAACGTAGAGAAGGGACAGCGTATATAGTGGATGCATGATGACCATCGTGTTAAGTTGATTCTGCAAAAACAAGGTTCAAAATATTGTGAAAGTGAAACAAATTCTAAAACGACAGCCCACCAACGAAAGCACAAGAGGCCGACATTATCGGTCTGGAGGGGTTCTCGTCACTTTTTAGAGGATTCTCTAGACAGATGAATACCTACAGCCCATGGGACTCACTCACAATTTCGAACTCTTGTGCCTTCTTTCTTTAAACTTTTATGATGGTTCTTGGAACGACATTGTGGCCCGAATTCACAAAGGAGGTTTGTCGACAAAGCTCCTTTCTGAATTCGGGCCAATAGGTCACATGGGTGGGTTCACTAGATAAACAACCAACCCTTGACAAACGATGATACCGGCATTGACTTCCTTGCAAATTTCTTTGTCTAGGTCCTTTCTTTAACTTCTCTATATTTTTTCTCCCTACGTACTGTTTTTCTATGCATTTTCTATTTCTATAACGATTCTCTCTTTTCCTTTTTTTTTATTTATTTTTGTTACCCCCTTCTTATATTCTCATTGTATATATTTTTGTCTTTATCATTCGTGTTGCAATAATTCTTTGATTTTACTTATTTCCACTTCTTTTCCTATCTTTTCTTACGCATTTCTTTGTTTTGATAGTCTAGTGAGCTGCAGGTCTGGTATCGGGTCAACTTTCGGTAAACTGAGATGACCCCTGACATATTTCAAAAAGAATAATACAATTAAAACTAGACATATAATACTTGTTTGGAACAAGTATAGGTGGGCTGATCAACTAAAATTTGAGACAAAATAAAGCAAAAATAAGCGAGATACTGCTTAAAAGACAAGGTCATGTAGATTCATGATGTGAACGAAATTGATGATCATGATGGTTATGATGATGATGATGATAATAATGATGATCATGATGATGTCGATGATGATTATCATCATTATGAGAATGATGATCATGATGATAATGATGATGATCATGATGATATTGATGATGATTATGATCATGAGCGTGATCCTGACATTTTATTGAAAAAATGAGGGATGATTAAGATAGCAAATAGTCTCAGCTACAACATATTAAAAAATCAACAAAATCCAAGCAGAAATAACGGCATTATTGCTCGCAAAAGACAGGAATGTAGAATCCAGATTTGAGAAAAAGTCATCTCCCATAGGGATTACACGAAAAAAAGTAAAGGATCAAGTGAAAATAGTGTAATAATAAAGTAAAGAGGGGTGTTTATTACATTTGCGATTCTACGTGTTTTTATAATCAAAGTAGATGGTACAGTGAAAGGCCAAAAAGAAGAAAAAAAAGGGAAGAAAAAAATTCTTGGAGACGCCCGGCCTCGAACCAGGGATCTCGAGGTAGGAAGTCAAATGCGTTACCGATATACCAAAACATTTCCCATAGCGATTACACGTAAACGAAAAATGGAATTCTCAAATCCCACTTTGCAAGTGAAATATGAGCATGATCCCGGCATCTGATCGAAAAATAAAGAGCACAGTTGTGATAGCTTATTGTCTCGGCTACAACATACTCAAAGCTCAGCAGAAACGAAACTTAAACAACGGAGATATTGCTCGCGAAAGACGGGAATGTAGAATCCAGTTTTGAGAAAAAGTCATGTCCCATAGAGAATACACGCAAAATATGAAAAATTGACATGCCTCCTTTAGTCGCTAAAATACGGCATGATGCCTTTGTCAAAATGAAAAATGATGATTATTAAGCTTGTAGAAAATTATTTTAGCTACAACATATCGAAATTTGGAAGAAAATTGATAAATATTTACAGAGATACAATCAATTTTACATAAATATGCTGACGTCATAATATGCAAGTTCGTATTTTTAGTTCGAAGGCCATTATGATGATGTCACGATACATTTAATGGCCAAATGAGACATGAAATCATATCTCCGACTCATACTCTATCTAAAAAAAAAATTGTATAAGCATGTTTTTGCCCATATATGCTATGTATTAAAAGAGCTCGCGCGCACGGCGGACATTTATCTTAAATGGACGCTCATCTTGTTATTACTGATCCTAAAGAGATAAACATGGTATCAAATTGTTCGAAAAAATATTAGGAATATCATGAAAGAAGAAAAAATGGCGATTCTATGTTGTGTAATGGTGTTACGTGCGAAAGCGCGCGCGCATGCGCGTGTGCGTGATTTTTTATAAAATGCTTAAAATGACCTGAAACGTATGCAAAAAAAAAAAATTGAGACGATTTTGAGCATTAAAAAAAATTTGCGCGCGCACTGACGCGCGGACGTACGCGCACGCACGCGTTTTTTTACATGAAATTGACCGGACTGATATTGACCTTGATCATGATAAATATGAATGAGAAATACATTTCCATTATGAAGATATGATCATGAGTTAATTTTCACAAAATGGTGCCTAGATGACGTCATCAGTCAAGGTCAAGGTTTGAAACGTTATTTTGATTTCTCTATATGCCTATACATATGTGTGCCAAATTTTAAAGCATTTCATTGAACCATTTCAAAGTGATCTTGCTAACAAAAAAGTGGGTCGAAATAAGAAAAATAAACTAGACATGTTATACTTGTTTGGAACAAGTATAGGTGGGCTGTTCCAACTAATAAAAAAAATAGAACAAAAATGAGCGATATACTGCTAAAAAAAACAATGTCGTGTAGATTTACGATGTTAACGAAATTCACTTGCACTGATAGACACAACACGCAAATTGAGAAATTGTTGACCTTTGCCTTTTAATTGAAATTTTCACTATGATGACGTCTTCAAAATGAAAAATAATGACCATTGAGCTTGTAGAAAACTGTCTAAGCTACAACATGTGAAAATCTGGGGGGGGGGGGGAATCGATTAATGTTTACAGCTCTAGATACACTCAATTTTCCATAAATTTGCTGACGTCGTAATATGTCAATTCGTAATTTGAGTTTGAATGCCATCATGACGACCTCAGAATATTTTGTAATGGCCAAATGAGAAATGAAATCATATCTCCGACTCATACTCTATCCGAATATGAAAAAAAATTGAGGGTTCCCGTCCATCCCAAAGAGTCATAAGGGTTTTGTGTAGGCATGTTGTTGCCCATATATGCTATGTATTACATGAGCTCGCGCGCACGGACGTTTATCTTGAACGGACGCTCATTCCCTTATTAATGGTCATAAAGAGATAAACATGGTATCAAATTGTTCGGAAAACATGAGGAATACTGTGTTAAAAAATACCCAGGATGAATTATTTTGTGTTCGGCTGTGACAAACGAAAACGCGCGCGCATGCGCGTGTGCGCGTTTCTTTATGAAATGCTATTGCTAATAATGGTGTACGCTCGCGTTTTTTTGACCTGAAATTGACCGGACTGATATTGACCTTGATCCTGGTAAATATGAATGAGAAATGTCTTTTCGTTATGAAGATATGATCATATTTTGATTTTCACAAAATAGCGCCTAGATGACGTTATCATTCAAGGTCAAAGTTGAAAACCTTGTTGTGCTCTTTCCTGATGCCAATGCATATGTGTGCCAAATTTCAAGGCATTTGGTTGAGCCATTTTTAAGTTATCCTGCTAACAAAAAAGTGGGTCGAAATAAGAAAAATATTGTAACGAAAACATATGGTAGTCTGTATTATATACAGCCCACCTGATAAATAATAATAAAGGCAATTGTAACAAAATTATAAGGTGGTCTGTATTAGATACAGCCCACCTGATAATAATTACTTGAAAAGAATTTGTGATTTTAGTTGTTCCGAAACTAATAATGACTGGAATACAGGGTTGTGATTTAAAAATATGAAAACGCGTTTATATTGCACGGTTTTAAACGTATGTTATGGTTTTAAACTTTTTTTCAGCAGAAATATCATTTCACAAAAGTCGTTTAGAACAACATCAGTGTCGACTGTGGTGGTCTTGTACCAGGCTAGACAATGAGATTGCGGTATGTTTTGTTTATGTTATAACCGTATAAAATAGGGCAGACATAAATGTCCACATGTTTTGTTGTCTAAATTACAGCATTTGCACAATTCAACAATTTTGACCTACATACTCAGAAATCGAACTTAGGCTGTACATGTATTTTGATACCATGTACGGCCTTCATTTTAAATTTCATTAAAATTCATCAAACATTACTCAAGTTATCGAATGGAAACCAGATTCGCATATTTAGTGAGCTATGACCTATGACCTACATACTACGAAATCGAACGTAGGCTGTGTTTTGATACCATGAACCTTCATATCAAATTTCATTAAAATCCGTCCAACAATACTAAAGTTATCGATCGGAAACCAGATTCGCATATTTAATGAGCTATGACCTTTGACCTATATACTCGGAAATTGAACGTAGGCTGTATTTTGATACCATGTACCTTCATATCAAATTTTATTAAAATCCGTCAAACATTACTAAAGTTATCGATCGGAAACCAGATGTGTACTTTTGTGCATGTTTAATGAGCTATGACCTTTGACCTTTGATCTACGTACTCCAAAATCGAACTTAGCCTGTATTTTGATATCCTGTACCTTCATATTAAATTTCAATCAAATCTGTCAAACATTACTGAAGTTATCAATCGGAAACCAAATTTGTTACGGACGCACGCGCGGACGGACGCAAGGAAGGATGGAAGGCAGCGTTACTATATCCCCTCCGACTTCGTCGGCGAGGGGAGAACAAAGGAAATCAATATTTAATTTCGGGGCTTAAATTAATTGGATTAGTCCATTGCCTGAACCATTTCCGCCTCCCACTCCCCGCGCTGAGAGAGCGGCCCGGTAGACACAAGGATCCACCGCACCGCGCTCCAAACACTGAAAGGGGAAACAAAACACAACTAGATTTGTAATACTTGTTTTGAACAAGTATAGGTGGGCTGTTTCAATTAAAATTTAAAGGGCACATTTGTGATAGCTTATTGTCTCAGCTTCAACATACTCGAAGCTCAGCAAAAATGAAGCTAAAACGACAGATATATTGCTCGCGAAAGACGGGAATGAAGAAT